AATGGCACTTAGTGAGCCAGCCAGTGTGGGCGGGTGGAATCTAAGCAACACCGGGGTGAAGCCAGGGTTTCCCAGCCACGAGACTGTGGCCGCAGGAAGCAGAGGAGGCCGAGTAGGGGTGAAAAAGGGTGGAGGGTGGGGAAGCATATATTGCTGGTTACTGGTTGTTCTGTCTCCTTCTGGAAGCTACGTGAAGCTGCTTTCTCATACCCCCTGTTAGCTGGTCTCTGATAGGAGTCCAAGATGGTGGATCTGTTCTGTGTTAGATGATAGGGGACCTCTGCATGTATCTCTCCTCGCTCTCTGTTCTCTGTCAGTTTCTTATTCCATTTGGTGCTTGGCTGAGTTATTTATCTCTTCATTTGATGCTTAGGGTTTCAGGATTGCCATTTTCTCTGTTTGGCTTAAGTTTTTCAGATCTTTGCTGTGGAGGGACAGCGTTGTTCTTCTGCCTATAGTGCCATGTTGCCTGGAAGTCTGTTCAATAATTTCTGCATTCTGTTGGATCATCTTTCTTTGGAATGGGCATAAATATGGATCTCTTCTAGTCAGCTGGCCAGGTAGCTGTCTTCCAAATTTCTTGGTGTAGATGAGTAAGCATCTCCAATGCTGCATCCATTTGTTGAAACTTCTCAATTGATATTCTATAAATTCCTGGAACCTTGTTTTTTGCCAATGCCTTCAGTGCAGCTTGGATTTCTTTCTTCAGTACCATTGGTTCTTAATCATATGCTTCCTCCAGAAATGGTTGAATGTCGACCAATTCTTTTTGGTACAGTGACTCTGTGTATTCCTTCCATCTTCTTTTGATGCTTCCTGCATTGTTCAATAGTTTGCCCACAGAATCCTTCAAAATTGTAACTCAAGCCCTGCATTCAGTATCTGGAGCCTCCTCTGCCCTTTGGGCCTGGTGAGTCACAGAGGCTCAGGGCTTCTTGCGAGAGTGCTGGGAGCCTGGCTGTGCACCCAACCCCACTAAGGCAGAGGCTTCAGGCCCTGTTCAGCTCACTTTGAGATGTCATTCAACTAGCACGCATTTATTCCAAACACTCTCTCCAATGTCTCTTTCTTCCCTTCCACCCACAGCAATTTTGAGCTGCAGTGCCTCAGGCTGCATAGGAGCTGGGAACCCAGAACACATGCTCACTGGTTTGGTGCTGCCTGTGTGTCTGCCCAGAGGCTGTGGCCACAGAGGAGGCAGGCCCCAAGAGGCAGCTGGATGCTGCACCCCTGCTGGCTGGAGGGAGTGGAAGGTGCAGAGCAGTGCAGCCTAGCTTCCCAGAGGCCCTCTAGAGACCTTCATCAAGGGAGGGGATGCTCAGCAGTCATGCCTACTGCCTC